CCTCCCGCCCCACCTTGCCTTGCAACCTCTTCTCAACAGTCCGCCCGGCCGCGCCTGCAGCGCTGGCTGGACTCTGTGGGCGCTTTTTGGTCGAAGGCCGTCATATTTGCCACCCTCGCCACCGCGGTCGCGCTGCCCCTGATGGGCGTCCCCTTTTTCGGCGACCGCGGCGCGCTGTACCGCGCGATGGGCGTCCTCACCGCCGGCTCTCCCTGCGCGCTGGCGCTGGTGCCGCTCGCGTACGTCTGCGCCATTGCGTCCATCACCGCGCGCGGCGTGCTGGTGAAGAGCGGCGCCGCGCTCGACGCGCTCGCCGCGTGCGGGACCGTCGCACTCGACAAGACGGGGACGATCACTGCGGGCGCGCTCACGCTGGCGGAGGGCTTTGCGATCTCCCTTGGCGGCGGCGGCGGGGCGCGGCGGATGGCGGGGGTGGACGATTTAGTGTCGCGCAGCGGCGGCGGCGGCGGCGACGGCGAGTCGTCCGGCCCTGATGATGCTGGCGGCGCGGCGGACGCGGCGCCGGGCCCCGGCGCGGCGTTTGATGAGGTGGCAGTCGCCTGCGCCGTGGCACTGTCGCGGCTGTCCAACCACCCTGTGTCGCGCGCGATGGTAGAGGCGGCGCCGTCCGCGGACGCGTCCGTCGGCGTCGCGTCGTTCACGCAGGTGCCGGGCTCCGGCGTCGAGGGCGTGTGCACCGTGGCGGGCGGCCCGCCGGTCATGGTGCGCTTCGGGGCGCTCGACTGGGTCGGAAGCTTCTTCGAGCCGTCAGCGCGGGAGGGCGCAGTCGCCGTTGCGGAGGGGGGCGAGGCGCTTGGCGGGGAGGGCGGCGGGCAGCAGCAGGGCGAGCCTGTTGGCGGCGGCGGCGAGGGCCTGCGGATTGAGGAGCTGCGGCGGGCGGTGGGCGGCGCCAAGGGGCGCGCGTCCCGCGCGGTCGCGTTTGTGAGCGTCACGCCGCACTCTGAAGACGGCAAGCTGGACGGCTCCGACGACGCCTGGCGGGGGGAGCAGCAGCAGGGGCGGCAGCAAGGGCAGCAGCAGCAGCAGCAGCAGCACCAGCAGCAGCAGCAGCAGCAGCAGCAGCAGCAGATCGCGATGCTCTGCTTCGATGACATCATCATGCCCGGCGTCCCCGCCGCTGTCGGCGCGCTCTCCAGCGGCGCGTGGGTGCGCGGGCGCCGCGCGTCCCCAGCCCCCGATGCGGCCGGTGCAGCCGGCGCGAGGCGGGCGCCGCGCGGCAGCTCGCGCCACGCGAAGCGTGTGGTCATGCTGACAGGCGACAACCTCGGCGTTGCCACTGCGGTTGCGGCGGCGGTCGGCATTGATGAGTTCCGTGCGGGCCTGCGGCCGGAGGAGAAGCTTGCTTATGTGCGAGAGGCTGCAGGGGCCGCTGCGGCGGCGGGCGCGCCTGGGGCGTCCGGGGAGCGCCCCGCAGCGGGCCGTGACGGCGGCGACGGCGGCAACCAGGCCAGGAAGGGGCAGAGGCAGGAGCAGCGGCGGCCTGTGGCTGTGGGCGGGGCCGGCGGGGGCCTGGTGATGGTGGGCGACGGCATCAACGACGCCCCGGCACTGGCGGCGGCGCAGGTGCGCACGGCGCCCGAAAACGCGAGCCCCGGCGGCTGCCTCGCTCCCTCGTCTCTGCGCCCCCGGCTTCTGCCCTGGCCGCCGCCCACCCACCCC